GTGTCGGTAAACGATTTTATATTACATCTTATAAAGCTCTTAAACATGGATTGCAACCCTAGTTGAAAATATCTTTGTGGTGTCTCTATCTCTCTCTTTATCTATCGCTTGTCTCTTCGTGCTCGTTATCCGTATCTGTCTCTTCTTATTCTTGTCTCTCTAAGTTCATTTCTTTTTTCTGGTAAAAGATAAAATTTCAACAACAATCATATCAAAATACTTTTTTTTTTCTGAAATTAGATTACAGATATCTCTTTATTATAAAATTTATGAAACTTTTTTATAAAATTAAGAATAGCAAACAATATATATTTTTTAATTATGATACATAATTTGTATCATTTTCAAGATCTTTTTTCTTTAAAAAAAAAATTCATGTCTTCTTCTAATGCTGTAGTTCATATTCTTTAAATTATTTAAAATTGTAATTGTTTTTTTATATTAGTTAATACGTCCAAGAAAGTAGACGCGAACATAGTTATAATAGTATGAAGGGTGACATACTTTAGTTTTCTTGAAACATTTGATAAGTTGTGTAAAATCATTAAAATAAATCGTAAAAAAAAAAAAAATTTATATTTTTATTATTTAAAGATTTTTGCCAAATGTTAAAAGAATTCAAACGTACAATAAATTACCGAATGATCGCTTCTCAATATATTAAGTAAAATAAATTTATTTCTCCTATTTACAGCTCAAAATCTTTAATTTTTCTACTCGATACAAAATAAAATTTTTATTAATAAAATATTTTAGATATAATAAAAGATTTTTCACTTAACCGTTCATTCAAGAAATCCAAAAAATTAATAGTCTTATTTCTAATTTATTAAATATTTTACACTTCATCTTCCACTGCCAAGCGTCTATATCCACTAGGCATAGTAGGTCCAGTTTTCAAAGCTGTAATAAACGTGTTAATTAATCCACTTTCTCTTTTCTCCTTTCTTACTCCTCCCTTTCCATCATCAACCCAGGTTGGCTTAGTCCACCATCTGAGCATTAAGCTAGAACATACTACGCTAACACTTGAACAAGCCATGGCGAAACCTGCCATCATAGGATGTAAATGATATCCCCATGGTAGAAATAGTCCCATGGCAAATGGAATTCCAGATAAATTATATAAACATGCCCATAGAAAATTTAACCGTATCCTTTTAAATATAGTTCGTGATAAATCTATAGACGCAACTACATCAGTTATGTCTGGTCGCATAAGTACTATATCTGCTGCTTCGATTGCTATATCGGTTCGAGAACACAATGCAATTCCTAAATTTGCTGCTGCTAATGCTGGTGAATCGTTAATTCCATCACCAACCATTGCCACAATATTTCCTCGACCTTCATGTTGTATTTTTTGTATTATTTGAGTTTTACCTTTTGGTGAAACTCCTGCATAAATTTTGTTTTCGTCTATTCCACATTGTGAAGCTATGGTTTGGGCAGTTAACAACTGATCACCGGTCACCATTAAAACGTCTATGCCCATTCGTTTTAATGCACCAACGGCAATTTTAGACTCTGGTTTAATTATATCTGAAAGAAATATTAGTCCTACTAATTCTTTATCTATGCTTACTAGAACAGTCGTATGTCCAAGTCGTTCTTGCGTCTCCTTAAGTGTGATAATTGATTCTGGAAGTATGATTCTATGGTGTTGTGTCAAGAATTTTTCATTTCCTATCAATACATCATAAGTTTTTATAGTTGAACGGTTTGTTTTTTTGAGACTAACTGTACATTTAATACCAAGTCCTGAAAGGCTTTCAAAATTTGAAACATCTGCATTATATGTTTCAATACATAAAAATCTTTTTCCATAATTAGTGATAGAACGACCAAGAGGATGTTCGCTTGATGATTCAGCTGCTCCAACAATTTCAAAAAATCTTTCTTTTGTTAATTCTGAATTTTTAGTCGTTAATTCATAATGTACAACATCTAATTGACCTTTTGTTAAAGTTCCGGTTTTATCAAATACAACTTTTGTGACTTTATGGCCGGTTTCAAGTGCCCCTCCACTTTTAATTAATATTCCGTTCTGTGCACCTACACCTGTACCAACCATTACGGCCGTAGGTGTACTAAGACCTAGGGCACAAGGACATGCTACCACGATAACAGAAATACATAATTTGAGACAAACCATGAAATAACTATCATTATTTAAAAAGATATCGGGAAGTGGATGCATTATTCTACTTAAAATCATCCATCCGATAAATGTTAATCCTCCTAACCCGATAACAACTGGTACAAAATATCCGGCAACTGTATCTGCAAATTCTTGAATTGGTGCTTTCGAAGTTTGCGCTTCTTCTACTAATTTTACTATTTGAGATAATGCAGTATCACTTCCTGCACGTGTAACCTCCATATCAAAAGTACCTAATTCATTAACAGTTCCACCAATTATTAAATCACCTGGTCGTTTAGTTACTGGGTCAGCTTCACCGGTAACCATCGATTCATCTACGGTCGATTGACCAGAAATAACGGTGCCATCAGCAGGAATTTTATCACCTAAAGATATTATTATATTTCAGATTAATATTCAATATATATTAAATATATATTCAATATAAAGATTTAATAAATGATAAAAATTATCAATTATGTTACCTGGCACGATTTTAACCATATCACCCACTTGTACTAATTCTGTAGGAATCTTTTTTTCTTCTATAATATCACCAGTTTTAGGATCTTTGATATAAATGGTTGTTACAGCAGGTGTAAGTGACATGAGTTTTGATAAAGCAACAGAGGTTTTTCCTTTGGCCAAATTTTCTAAATATCGACCGAAAGTTACAAATGTGATCAACATAGTTGATGTATCGAAAAACACTGATGATGGTCTATCATGTGGAGGAATAATTAACGCATAAAACATTGCGAAACATGAAAAAGTAAAAGCCGAAGTCGTCCCTAAAACTATTAAGACATCCATAGTTGCAGATCCATGTTTAAGAGCTTTATAAGATGTAATATAAAATCGTTTACCGACACCAAATTGAACTGGTATGGTCAATATGAGACTAATGAGATCACCACTGTAAATTCCAGGAAGCAGCTTCACGTCAACCAAGACTGAACCCCAACCGAATCCTGGAAGAATCATGGAAACAATAAATACCGGAATAGCAAAGGTAAGTGATTGGTAAAATGCCTTTCGCCATTCAGTGATCTCTCTTGTACGAGCCAGTGATTCTAGTTGTGTCTTTTGACTATTATCATAAATTAAGGCACTAACGCCAAAATTTTCAATTTTGTCCACAATATCTCGAATACCTATTTGTTCTTTATCAAATTCGATTACACCAATTGTTGTATCAAAATTTATAGATACATTAAAGATTCCGGGAATCTTGCATAGTCCTTGTTTGATTTCATCAACATTTTTAGGATGATGCATTCCAAAAATTTGAACTTCAATCTTGTCTTCACTTTTTGGTTGAATGGGAGAGGCATCAAATCCAATGCTATTAATTGATTCGGCTATCTTCTGGTCATCTATAAAATCTATATCATATTCTACTACAGCACGCTCGGCTAATAAAGAAACTTTAATAGATTCAATTCCAGAAACTCCACGAATATGTTTTTCGATGTTATTGACACAAGAAGCGCAAGTCATTCCACGTACTTGGATCTGACAAACACGTATTTTGTCCGGATCAAAAGTGTGAGTTTTTATTGTTTTGAGTGGGAAAGTTTCCTGATATGGTGAAGTCAAAACAATGTCGGTAAATGGCGCAAATTCTGAGGTTAATGGTGATGTTACATTAACATTTGATTTAATAGGAACGTCAAATCCACAATTTTCAATCACATTTATTATATCTTGTTCTTTAATTAACTCGCCATCATATTCTACAGTTGCGTTCTCTTCCTCAAGGCTCACCACCACTTCTTTAATGCCCTGAACAATTTTTAAAGCGTTTGTAATGGAGTTAACGCAGGAATGACAAGTCATTCCTTGTACAGGTAAAATTGTAGTTTTTATTTTGTCATTATGAATATTATTTTGATCGTGAACGCCTTTCATGATGTATTTGCATTAGCAAACAAGAGAAACGAACGTCTAAAACAGTATATAAACCGTGAGCATATAAATTGGGACTTATATAAAGGAGTATTTACGATTCTTAAATGAGAAACAAGTACGTACTCTTATATTTGCGTTATAGACGTATGATAAATCTTGACAACTAAGACTTTGCGTTTTTGATGTGCAGCCCGTAGCTGGTTGATGTGTTGTACGATTTACTTTATTTGAGTGGTTTATGTGGCTCTGCGAAGATAGATTTTTTTCGAATTTTTTCGAATCCTTATTGTAAGCGGTACTCTAACAATATTTATATTGGTTTTTATGATATACTGTATATGTTTATGTATGCACTTATGCACTTATCTAACTATATTATATATATATATAGCTTTTTTTTTTATTATTTATAACCCCATTTAATTATGGCTTCATGCATTTATTTGAAACACTGTGTTTAGAACCATGTTCGTATAACTTTTGTTTAACGGTTAAGACAAATATCCGTCACATTGGATGTGCGCATTTAAACTGCTATATATGACCGCCATCGAACACAGAGGAAACTTCAACTCTAACATTATAACCCCAAACAACAAATTAAAACATCTCTTAACATCGATAATACAATTTACTGTAACTTCAACTCCAAAGCTAAACCTAATTAACAAATTAGAACATTTATCATCGATACGTAATACGTATAATTCGCTAATTGTTATGCATTTAAATTTTTTTGATCGTAATTATTTTTAGCTTTATTTATCGATTGTAACTTAAAGCTATTAAAAGGAATTATATAATATAAAAATAACTTACTACGTATACGTAATATCTGTAAACCTAAAACATGTTCATCTTATTTTATCACCCGATTAAGTTATAATCTACCTAGCGGTTTTTATCTGATTGGGCTTCTCTCCTTATAGCCAAATATGTGGATGGTTGTCATTCAAATTAGTCTAGACGACTAAACAAAAGCCCATGTTCATTCTAAACAGTTAATATAATCTAATAAATTGTTCAAAATGTTCTTTTTCCGCTACACCATAATTTAGTCTTAAAACTTGGTACGTACGTACATACCAATTTTCTCAATCACTTATCAAAAATAAAACTGATAGACCAATTGGGTCTTTTCCATGAAAATCACGTTAGAGGACATATGATTTACTATGTCCCATAACGTGATTTTTCAAGGCAATTGTTAACATGAGCCAGTCAACGATCAAATCCGATCAATCTTTATCTGACGAGTTTGATCCGGTTTGGTTTAAGGCTAAATTGGTTAGATTGTTACTTAATATGAGTGCTGCCAAGAGAAAAAAATCGTTCGGACTTTCAATGATACAAACTCAGCCATATACTAGACCCCAGGTTTTAAAATCGATGGTGTAACATACCTGGGTCTTTTGTATGGCCGTTTACGATAGTCATTTGTCACTTGAGTAATTTCAGGTCATTTGCCATTATATACCGTGATATAACTGCGCCTAACCTTAGCAAGGACTTTAAATCTAATATTCACCTTTTCATTAATACGTATAACCTTTTAGACCAATAACCACTTTTAAACATTTTTTAACCCTGCTAACCATTCGCACTTAATAACTTAATGTTCTTCGCCAGGCGTTTACTAATTTCTCCCCCAAGTTTCGATATTGACCAATCAAAATGCAAGATCAGGTGTAACGTGACGATCAAAA